GGGGGGGAGGGCACCGGGGGGCCCGGGCACCCCCCGCGGTGCGATGCGGGCCCCACTGCCGCCCGTTTCTCGGAGCATTTTAGCACTCGGGTTTATTTGGTTTAGAATCTCGGAACACTAGGAAGGGGCGGCTCTCGCTGCCCGGCCGCGTTTGGAGGCAGCTCGCTAAAGAGGGCAGAAAGAGAAAAGGGCAGTGTCCGCTCCCGGACAGCAGCGCCGAGGAGCTTTTCTCACTGCGGTGCGATTTTCCGAGGCTCCATTCTCATTTCTCTGCGGTTATTTATTCCTCCCCTGCACCTTGTTTGAGAGGCAGGGCTCTGACAGCCCTCCTAATTATTTTTTTTTCTTCTTCTTCCTGAATGTTCCAGCCTAAACAACCCCAATTCGAGAGAAAACAATGGACTTTTTTTGTCTGCAAATGTGTGTGCAGAATAAGAGGAGGAGGTAAAAAAAAAAATAAATTAAAAAATCGCAATTCTTTTCTTGGCATGATTTTCGTAAAACTACACCTCTGGTATTGTTAAGTCGGCCATTCCCACAGGGAGCTCACACCTCCGAAAATGATCTTTGCTTAAAACAGAGGCACGCAAAGTCCCCATCGCCGTGAGGCCTGGAGCTCAGCAACACGCTTTGCTGGGACCTCGGGGCTGCCTGGTTTCACGCAGCGTTTGCAGCTTTCCCCGGGCTCAAACGTCAACCCTTCCGACTGTATTTATTTCATTACTATTCATTATCCCCCCCACCCCCCAGGGAACTCGGAACCCCAGATTTTTTTGCTAACCCGAGATCCTACTGACAAGCATTTGTCCAGAGGAGTTAACCTGAATTATTATAAACCCATTTCCGATTAAAAATGAACAATAAATTAAGAATGGTGACTGGGTGATGGGACCTGCTGCTCCGGGTTTTGCGGGTATCGAGACACTCCCTGGAGACTGAGGTTTTTGGGAGACACCATGGGGACTCCTGCCCCTGCCCTGTCCCTCCTGCTCCCCCATCTCCCTTCTCCGGTCGCCTCTGCATCCCGGGGACGGCGGGAAAGGGCATTTGCAACCGCAGGAAGCGATTTGTCACCTTCCTATTTAACCTGCCATGACAAACCGAGTTGTTCGGCTCTCGTCAGGTGCCGGGAACGGGTGGCGGCCCCGCACATCCCCGCTTCCCATTGCGTATCGCTGTTTCCTCCGTGTAACAATAATAAAATAACCATAGTCCCTGGCTGTTTAAATCCGCTGCTCTTCCTATTTACCCTGCCATGACAAACCGAGTTGTTCGGCTCTCGTCAGGTGCCGGGAACGGGTGGCGGCCCCGCACATCCCCGCTTCCCATTGCGTATCGCTGTTTCCTCCGTGTAACAATAATAAAATAACCATAGTCCCTGGCTGTTTAAATCCGCTGCTCACTGGCGGGGAGCAGGGAGGAGAGTTCCTCCCTCTAGGCAGGAGGCAGCTCCCGGGAGGCCCCTGCACCGGGATGCGGACGGAGGGGGATGAGGGGCAGAGGGAGGCCGATACTCACAGTTGAAGTCGGGCATTTTGGGCAGGATCATGGCG